AGTCAGAAGCCATTATATTTGTTGCCATGGAAGCCACTTAATGGTGGGAACTCTTTCCCACGCAGGACCAGGTCTCCATGCAACATAATAGTTGCTGTGGGTCTTGGATGACAGAAGCTGATATTGAACTCAGTGCCCAGCACTGTGCTGAGCTTTTTGTAAATTATTCTGTTGATTTTCACGAGCTGATAAGCTCTACTCCTGTTCAGTGTCTATTTTTACAGATGCGGAAACTACAGCTTTGAGAAACTAAAACTTTGGAGAAGTTGCTTCACTTCTCTGTACATGTTTCCATCATCTGTAAACCAGGGGTAATAATAGGGTCTGCCTCATAGGATTGAGCCATGGCTTAAATCCACACATGGCTTAAGTCTAGACTAGATTCTGAGTTGTTTGGCTTCAGCACCTGAAGTCATACCTGTTAAAGGTGGAGACTTTGCAGTAAGACCCAGGGTAATTGTAGCCAACCAGGTTGTGGTAAGGTGGAGTTATGTGTCTGCCCACCTCCTTTCACACCTCCTTTCTGGCTCCCAAGAGCTGCCAACTATACTCTTTTCTCCTAGATCTTCTCTCCCCTTAACTCTCATTCTTCAAAACTATCTTTTTCTTTCTCTCCTTCAGTCTCAAGAATAACTTCTTCCTTTGGTGCAGGCGAAAGAATCTAAATGAGCAATTACACACTGTGATATGAGTAGGTACCACTGGACTAAGAAAAAGTGGTTGTTAAAACAAAGAGCTTTCTTTAGATCAACTTCTTGACCTCTCTTGCCTACTAGTCTCTTCAATGCACACTGGAAGTACTGGGCCTGTCTCTCCCCATGCCCATGCCCCTTGGGAGCTTCTGTACCGATGCCAACTTCTGCTCGAGGGACATATAAAAAGTGCTTTTGTCCTAAGGAGTCTTTGTTCCATGATTGTCTTGGAAGCTTAGGGAAACAAAAAGGAATTCAGATATGCACTGTATTTATAGGCAATAAAACGTTGTGGTTAAAAAAAAAAAAAGGAAAGAACTTTGGGACACATAGTAAGAAAGTTCTGAACATTTTCCTTCAAGAAGAGATTTCTGTTATTTAGTCTAAATATTCGACTTGGGCCCATAGTATGTAAGGGGATTAGGGCTGTGGTTAAAGAGAAGGCTGTATTTTAAGTCAAAAAATAGGACACAGTACAAAGGAAAATGACTGGTCCTGGTTACAATTTTGAGGCTAAACCATAAAATCAGAAATATGCCATTTTCATGTGCTTTAAAATTGTGTATCCAAACTTGAGATTTGAAAAGTGTGGGTTGGATTCCATTCCCAGTATACTTGGGACAGTAAGACAAGCCACATTTCTGCGTGATGGGGGAGGAGTCTGGGCTTGTCTCAGTTACAAGGGTTTAAAACAAAAATGTGAGACAAGTTGATTGGGTCAGAGAAGAAAAAAAAGAATAAATCTAAAACTTAAAACAAAGGGAAGTCAATCAAAATGTGTTTGATTTATTTGACTGTGGAGAAAAGTTTCTACACCCTCAAGCACTGAAAGCCGCTGAGTTTATTTTCACATAACCTCAGGGTGAAGGGTGCAGACGGAACAAAAAGGAAACTCATTATTTTCAGTTCATCTTATGGTGATGGGCAGATTTTTAACTAATTGGAATAGTAGATGAATAATAATCCCAAGTGATTTTTTTTTCCTGTGTTGCATAAAAGACAACTTTCATGTTTGACCAAAAATAATGACATTTTCCAATTAAATGAATTTTCATTGTGAGTGAAGTGGCCTCAGGCATGGGGATAGATAATGCAGGACCCCTCAGGAGGTGGTGATCTCTGCTACTGCACTCAGAAGGCTAAGTCCCAGACGTCAAGGAGATCCTCCATTCTTGTTCCACTCTCCCCCAGACTGATACTTGGAATGCTTTCTTTAGAAGTATGTCTTTGAACGTTTTACATTGAAATGCTTCTGGAAGGGGAAAGATTTACCATTACCTTCCCAGGGAAAGCAGCAAATATGTGACCTTCCTGTTTTCCCCTTCACAGCAGCTCTTGGTAATCAACCTCAGATTTCTTCCCAGTATGCTCTGTATCCAGAATCTTCTCTCCAGCACAGCTGTCCAGGAAGCCACTCCAAATTGATTCAATAGAACATGAAAGTTGACACCTACTTGACACTCCTAATTTTTATCTTATATGAATGAGTTTATTAAATCAGCAAATTTTTCAGAGTGAGAAAGGAAAGAAAGTGTCATTTCTGGATTGGAAGAAGAGAAGTCACCATTAAGGGGGTTTTCTGGGTATTGGCGAGGCAAGCACTCTACCAACTGAGCTATTTCCCCAGCCCTATCAATAGCCTTTTAAAGAGAAAGAGGTCGCATATATCTACTGCTAAGTGCCGTATACCATTATTAGCTTTTTTGCATTAATTTTGTCATGTTTTCCTTCACAGCAGCTTTGGAAAGGAGGTGAGAAGGGTGAGAAAGGGAGAGAGAGGTCTCAATTGTACCTTAGAGGAAAATAAGCTTCCATGACTTGAAATGACTTGTCCAAAGTTAAAGTGCAAAGCTGTGACACAGATCTCAAGTCCCTGTCTTTCCAAAGCTGTGACACAGAACTCAAGTCCCTGTCTTTCCAGTGTACACTGCAATTTTATACATAGTTTCCAGAATTACATAGAATTAGACCAAAATGCATGTCCTAAGAATCTTCTCACGGTAACCTACATTTTTCAGGCCTATCTCCTTAGCAACAAAATTCAACATTAATTTAAATGGACTAAGAACTAAAATTTCTATTTGTTCAATCTTTGTTATTTTAACCTGGTGAACAATAGCACAGTTCCCTGGAGATGATAAAAAAAAAAAAAAGAAAATCCAGATATTTTCCCAGTCTCAATCATTTGAACTTAAATTTTCCTTGTGGGTTTTCTTCTGTGATATTTTACTATTCATGTTTGTGGTTAAATTGTCTAATTCATTGCATATGTTCATCTGACAAAATTAACTGAAATGGTTGGAGGAGAGAGATCTTGCTATAAATATCCCAACCTGGCTAAAGAAATAATATCATTGAGGATGGCACAATCAATGATTTTTAGCAAGTACAGTAGCCTTATAGATACAATTGCTAAGTTATTGATTAGATCAGATATAGATAGATAGATGATAGATATATGTATGTGTGTGTGTGTGTGTGTGTGTGTGTGTGTGTATCAGACATAAAACTGATTATGTATTGGGTCACTTTGAATGTTCCTAATAAGTATGGGGTCAGTCCTTTTATCTTTAAGTTAACCTTCTGAGAGACAATTTCAGCATCCATTTCCAATCAGGAATAGCAAACCTATTTTTATAGTGAGTCTTCTGTAATGTCATGCTGTTGTTTAAGAAAGTTAGTGAAGGCTGGGGCTGTAGCTCAGTAACAGAGCACTTGCCTCCCATGTGTGAGGCACTGGGTTTGATCTTAGCACCATATAAAAATAAACAAATAAAGGCATTCTGTCCATCTTTAACAACCATTTTTTTTTAAAAAGTCAGTGGGTATTTATTGAGTGCCAACCTACTGTATGCTTATGTTATACCTCAATACTAGTGAGAATGCTAAAGGAAAAAATGACAGCCAATGTTGCTTAGTGTTGAGAAAGCTAGGGAAAGCTTCCACGACCCCTGTTCCCCCCTGCCATGCACAGCCACAGTGTGCTGGGCAGCATCTCTGATGTAATCTCCCACAGCTCACATGCATCCTCTAGTGCTCTTATTAATAATAAGTCCATGCCACTTATTAGGGGCCAGACCGCCTGTCATACATTTCACAGTAATTCATTTAATTCTCTCTATATACCTAGAAAGTAGCCACTCCATTTTATAGTACAGAAATTGCTAGTACTGTTCTGCATCAGAGTATTTAAGCTATACTTAGGTCTGAGCTAGAAAGTCTTATAATCCAGGTAGGAGCAGGTACTTGTTCTAATAGAAGGATGCAGTGTGATTGATAAGAAAGAATCTGGTAAATCTTCGAAAGAGTAAACAGAACCAGATGTGTGACTGGTTATGGACTCTGAGGAGAGGGGGCATGCCAAAGAGCCCCAAAGGTCACTAACTTTAAAGACTGATCAAATGATGGCGTGCCCCCAGGCAGTGGGGTATTTGAGATGGGAAGCAGTTTAGGGGAAGTGGTCAGAAGTTCAGCTTTGATCTGACTCATCAAGGTGATGAAGTCAACTCCAAATTGATTGGTATAACCTACAGATGTGGTGAAAGGGCAAAACAGTGTAGCATGGTGGTCAGGTCTAGGATATAGAATGAAAACCTCTAGTGTCAGTGTTAGCACTTCCATGACCCTGTGTACTCTTATCCAAACCTGTTTTCTTACCTGTTACTGGGTTTCTATTATAATCAACAAAAGAAAATTTAGAGTTAAGGTGAGATACCAAAGGTTAGACAGCTAATGAAAGGCAGATTCCAGGTCATAAACCTAAATGAACTATCTTTTAAAATGTGTAATCTGATTGCTAACTATTCTGGGAGAAAAGAATAATCACATTCTTAAGTCAAAGCTAAGAAGACCCTATCATGTCATCCAAATTAAGACACTTTGAGTAAAAGTGGGTGCTATTAATAAATACATTAAAAAGACAGGCTTTCTGGTGCAATTGTGGGAGTCCAGGAAAGGAGTACAAATGATTACATTACTTGCAGCCAACAGAAGAGAAACTTTTGAAATCCTGCTTGTGAAACCACAGGTATGGTTTCCAATTTTGAATAAACATAATTCTGGGTGGAAGAGGGTATATTCAGGATGTATTTTCCAGCTGGGCTCCTTTGTATACAATGATTAGTCTCCTCTCATCTCTATCTCAGCAGTGTTCCTCACCCCACAACTATCCCTTGTCCCACATATGACACTCAAGCCACTGTGATTATTCAGTTGTTTAGAAGGAAAAGGGGTGACTTCATTGCATTAATACATCTGGTCTTGTTTCCGTTGTCTGATATTTGCTCATTGCTGATTGCTGCCTGGTAGTTGCTCCGCTCTGCTGCTGATTGGTCTGCTGGCATAAAGTACCATGAAGAGTCCATCCATGCTGCTTACGTCTATGTGATAGAGAACAGCAAGCACTATATCTACATTGAAGTAAGTCCTGCTCATGTCACACATTGTGCAAAACTGCCTGCCCAGAAATGTCACCGAGACCACAGGTTCAGGACCTGCCATATTAATATGTGTCTATAGAACTGTGAAGAGTGCTGGAGAACTGCTAATTCCCATCACCTGACTATTGATCTCCCCTGAAATTCATTCTGCATTGTCATTGACTCAAGCGTATACTGGGGGTCTCCCAAATCCATGTTATTAAAATGTGTCAACTCACTGTAATATTGTTTGCCAAAAATATCCCAACATGAATGTGTCAGTTTGTGGCTTGGTTGGAGGGCTGAGATGTGAGGCATGTGCTATTTGAGGTCAGCACACATATAGAGAGACATAGTAGCTAAAGAGATCATGCAATAGTTTGGGGATGTTGGACTATGGAGAGTATAGGGAAATGAACATGGAAAAGGAAGATGTGAGATTGTTAAAGGCAGGAACCACCTTCTTCAATACTCTTTGAACAACCATTCATTAGAAAGGGGTTTCAGGTCCCAGAGTTTGTGTGCAGAGTATATGAGAAAATCTGGGAACACTGAGTTTAGTCTGGGAACTTTAATTGCACTTCAAAGTGGACATAAAAATAGTTCAGGGCACTTGGAAAACCCTGAGAAAATAAAAAGTCCCAGTAATGGAAAAAATACATCAGAGTTCATCTCCCTTCCTTATTCTAACTTTTTTTTCCCCATTGAATAAAATGGTGAAAGGGTGGTGGATGAGCAGGAGAGAATCATTCTATCCCTATTTTCTTTCTCCTTGAGTGCTTGCCTGCTCCCTGTGCATACTGTGACAATTCATTAAAGGCAAACAGCAAAGAATTGGAGCCTTATTTATTTTGCAGGCCTGGAGAAAGGAAAGGCTAATTTAAAATATTAGCAGGCTAAATGCAACATGATATCCTGACTGGGATCTTGACATAAAGAACATTAGTGGGAAAATTAGTGAGCTCTGTACAAAGTCTAGAGGTTAGTAATGCCATTAGTACTACTGCCTTTGACAGTTGTACCATAGTAATTTAAGATGCTAAAGCTGGCTCACTCTTTTTTAGTAGTTTTCATGTTGCCTTTTTTAAAACACTAGCTTGGCATTAAATGGTGTCAGTAGTGTCATGTAGGTACACATGGTATGCCATGTAGGTACACATGATCTTGGACATGGGCCAGGTTGACACTCCTCTAGTCTAGGTAAAGTAGCATTCACTGTACTCCTCCAAAAAGAAAAGAAATAAAGGACATGACATGTGGCCAGTCTGTGTTCACAGCTGTGGAGGAATGCTAAACTCCTTTGTATTATGAATTAAGAAAACAAAAACATGGTTTAGTTGCCATTGGGATTTCATTTGCTTAATGCCCTACAGCAAACCACAGTCTCAAATGAGTTCCTGCACAGTGTCTTCCTATAAGTTTTTCTTCTCCTGAGGCATTTTGCAGATTTGTGTACTTTAAGTGTAAACATTTGTGATTCATAAAAATGATAATGCTGCAAACAGAGGGTAATCATATTTTGAGTTATTGGTTATAAATCTTCATACCTTGAGATGATTAACAAATATTGCTTCAAGATGATTGTCCTTAGAAATTACAGTTGCATTATAAGAATCTGGATTCTATTTGAACACATAATATTTACATTTAATTTTTGACATCCCCTTATGCAGCAACAAAATCTTTTCCACCATTATGATGATAATGCCATAGCTGAGTTTCTAGTAACAGTTTTAAAGGATGTTTTATAGATGCATGAATACCAGAAGTACTTAGAGAACTATTTCTTTTTCCATTTTATTAGTATATATATATATGTATGTGTATATATTATATAAGAATATACATACAACGTACTAACAAAAGAGATTTGAAAATCCTTAAAATAGAAGTTCAGGAATAATCAGAGGACCCATCCTCCAAAAAAAAAAAAAAAGAGAGAGAGAGAGAGAGAAAACATGAAAGTAAATTCAAGGAAATAATGGAGAAAGGTGTAGAGAATTAGATCTGTAGTCTACCTTGTTAAAAAAAAGTACATTTAGCATGAGACAGGATGTTTATCAATATAGAATTTTTAATCATGAGCATTTATATAAAATGTGAATCTGAAAAAAAACCCTAACTCTGGAATATTCTATGTTCTAAGAATGTAATTTAAAAGTTTGAGGGTGAAGTAACAGTGCAGCCTGCCTCTTGAGGAGGGTGTTCTTAGTAATCAAAGACCTAGACTATGCATGAGACCCAGAATCAGATGGTTGTGCTTTGATTCTGTGTCATTTGCTTTCCCAATGTGATCAGAACACAGCTGCTGTGTGACACACTTTTTTAAAAGTACAAATGTCATTTTTATTGACTACATTTTCCTTAGACTATGTGTAAACTACTAAGAAAGGAATGCCTTCATGATGGCCCCATTTTTTTTCCTCACAGAACCAATTTTTCATAAGCTGTGCTGATGACAAAGTAGTATTCAACAAAATAGGCGATGCTATCGCCCAGCGGATCCTGAAGGCTCACAGGTAATGTTTCGACTCTTATTTTGGGGAAGTTGTTGATGACGATGTCCTTATTTCCTATGAACATGACTTTTCAAAGCCCATTTTTAAAGGGCTGTCATTTCCTGTAAACTTGAATGTGGTCCAGCCAGTGATAGGTTGTTGTTTGCTTTAATCTGAGTCACTAAGAATTTTTGAGTCCATTTTGGTGGGACAAATAGGATGTCCAGTCATTTTTTCCTGGCCACACTCTTTCCCATGCATGAGATTTGTGGTTTGATTTATTTAATAGCAGACAGTGATCTATGTTCACTTATAAACAAAGCAAAATAAACATCTTTTGCCATGGATTATATTTAAATTCTTGTTCCCATCTGTCTTATGTCTTCAGCTCATGGGATTATTCCTTAAATAATAGTTTTATTGAGATAGAATCCACATCCTAAGTAACCACCCACTTAAAAACTGTACAGTGTACCAATCTTTAGTATATTTATAGAGTTGCACAACCATCACCTAATCAATTTTAGAATATTTTCATCATTCCAGGAAAAAAAAATGCCTTTTGGTAGTCATCACTTGTTGCTTTCTTTCCTGAGCCCCCTTAAAATTCCCAAATCTACTTTTGTTTTTTGTAGATGTGCCAACATGAGCATTTCCTATAAATGGAATCATTTAATATATTGTCTTTTATGAGTGATTTCTTATAGCTCATCTATGTCATAACGTATCAGTGTTTTCATCTCTTTTTATTGCCAGCTACTATTTCATTCTATGGATATACCACATTTTATTTGTCCATTTGGCTGCCATGAATAACATTGTTATAGATGTTCTGTACTAGGCTTTTTCTTTTGCTTTGTTTTAGAGATTCACTGTGGTATGTACATTATGTACATAGAAGAGTTTGGTCAGATTCATTCCAACATTTTTCACTTTTCTGACCCTCTTCCCTCCTTCTTCTACTCCACTCTCTCTTCGATTTTTTATGGGATTCCCTTTCCCCCCTTTTTCTTTTGCTTCCCCCTCCCCTCATTGTGGTCTCACTTCTGCATGTCTGAGACACCTTTAGTGGTTTTATGCAAACATGTTTTTGTTTCTCTAGGGGTAAAATTGCTGGGTCATAATGGTAACTCTCTGACATTTTAAGGAACTGGCAGACCATCTTCCAAAGCAGCTATACCACTTTACATTCCTACAGTGTATGAGCTTCAATTTCGCTATATCATTATAAATTCTTATTATCTCTCTTTCCATTATAATTATTCTAGTAGGTATGAAATAGCATCCCAAAACAGTTTTATTTTGAATTTATTTTTGAATGATTAATGATGTTGAGCATCTTTTTGTGTGTTTATTGACCATATACGTATTACACAGCTACCTTGCCCATTTTTATTGAGTTACTTGTCTTTTTATTGTGGAATTGCCAGTTCTTTAAATATTCTAAATACAAGTCCAATATAGGATACATGATTTTCAAGTATTTTTTTCCCATTCCATGGGTTTTTTTTTTACTTTCTTGATGATATTGTTTGAAACATAGACATTTTAATATTGATGAAGCCCAAGTTATCATTTTTTTATTTTCTAAGAATGATCAATGGGGTTGTGGCTCAGTAGCAGAGCACTTACCTTGCATATGTGAGGCACTGGGTTCAATCCTTAGTACCACATAAAAATAAATAAACAGGGACCAGGGTTGTGGCTCAGGGGTAGAACACTTGCCTAGCATGTGTGAGGCACTGGGTTTGATCTTTGGCACCACATAAAACTGAAAAAATAAAATAAAGGCATTGTGTCCATCTACAACTAAAAAGAAAATCAAACAAATAAATAATCAAAATAAAGATATTATGTCCATGTAAAACTAAAAAATATTTTTAAAAAGAATAATCAGGATCATGAAAATTTATGCCTGTTTTCTTCTTATAACTTTATAGTTTTTAGCTTATATATCTTTGATTCGTTTTTAATTATTTTGTGTATATGGTGTGAATTAGGGGTTCATCTTCATTCCTTTGCCTGTGGATGTGGAGTTGTCCCAGCTTTACTTCTTGAAAAGATCTTGAATTGTCTTAGTATCTGAGAGTATTTCTTTGTATGGCCGATTTTAGCTCTATGTAAAAGTAGCAGCATAAGAAAGCAAAACCATTTTTTTCATTAGTTTAAGTCATTGAATGCATCAGTGAAGAAATTAATTAAACATGTTATAAATACATATGTATTTATACATATTTGGGGATTAAAACATTTTTTTTTACTTCTACTGCCGTGTTGTACCTTGATTACTTTCTTTCACATATTATGTGGTTATTTTAGCTTAAAAATATAACTGTAGCTCTCAACATTTAATATGATTCATAGTTTATATTTCAGCATGATCTTGCTAAATCTTCACAAATAATCATGATAGTAGGTTATATAGCCATTGCTGTTTTTCTCGTTGCTGCTCCCATTTTAAGAATTAAAAATTGAGATTCAGGAGGTTGTATGAATTGTCTAGGCCACTAACAGCCTTAGGCAAAACCAGCTTTGAGCCCATCCTCGCACTTTTTTGACCAAGTGACTCCCCAGTGCCATGTAACCCTAATTCATAAGTGGTTAGGTATTTACGTAGGCAAGTGGATTGGTCCTCTGGTTTTTCCCCCCACTTTGACCACTCATTAGATGCAGGCTGACCCCAAGGGGACAACCTTGAGTGAGGCAGGTCCCTTTGGCCTATGGAGGGCAACAACTGGAGAAAGTCTGAGGCCAACCTCTCAGCAGCTGAGTGTTTGGCTGGGTTGATCCTAAGGTGAGGGATTATCGGCAGCAACTATAGTATCCACCCCATACTACAGGGTGCATAGTGGATCTTACCCTTGACTGCACATTGAAATCACCTTTGGACCTTTACAAAATTACAAAGAGCTAGACTCAACTCTAAGCTTACTGGACCATAATTTCCAGGAAGAGGGGTGCAGTCACCTGAATTTTATAATGCTCCAAAGATGACTGCAGGGCATGACTACGATTGTTTTGTCTCATCTAGAAGAGCCAGACACAGCTATAAATATTAATGGTGGCCTGTGTTTTAAAGGTGACCTTTATGCCTTGCCTTCTCATATGCTTTTAAAAGAGATTCCCCATAGGATCTGTTTCTGAAATGACTTAAAAACAGCCTTGTTTATAGTTAAACATACATGTACATCCAGAGATTTCTTGCATCCTTGCCAGCTTTCCAATTTTATGGGGTAATTTATGTTTAATTTATAAATTTGCATTATTTTTCTATCAACTCTTGCATTTTGTTGATGCAGGTGCATCTGCTTTATTTATGAAGCACATTTGGTAAATAAAAAATGTTAGGAAATTAGAGTTAGTCACAGACATACATTAAGCTGACAAATGTGTTCATTGAGCTGAGCAGCACATCATGAATTTTGGAACTGTAATCAGCTAATAAGTAGAGAAAGATGCACTTGAGTTATTATTATTTCCCTATAAGTGTGTGGTATAATGAGAACCAGTGAAATTTGTTTTTAAGGGTTTGGGAGCCTGAAAGAATATTTTTCTTTGCCATATTAATTTGTCTCTAAAAATCTGGACTTCTTCTAAAATCATAAAATGCTAGCATTTCAGGGTGGGAAGGAACTTTAAAACATTTTCTAATCCCAAGAGATGCTCCTGAAAGAAAAAAATTCTGTGATGAAAGAGTGTGGTAAGTTGTAGATGATATCTCATGCTTGGAGGTTCACAGGGCACATTAAAGACTGGCAACTTCAAACTTTCCTTGTAGAAAATTGGATATGAGCGCATCCTATTTCAAATTAGCTGTATGTTATCAAACTCTGATTTCTCAACAGTCTCACTTTCTTTAACAATTTCAAACTGGTACAAGTCTTATGCAGATTTTCAGTGGACGCACACACACACCATGAAAACACATTTTCTCCTTTTCTCTTCGTTTTCACAGTATTGTTCCTCTTCTGTGGTAATTGCCACTGTAAAACATTTTTTTCACTTAATAACTTGAATGCTGTGAGCTTGTAATTCTTAGGCAATTTCAAAGCCGAGTTTTAAAGCTCATCCTGCTGGCTACCTGCAATGGGGTATCTCCTTTTCACTAATTAGGGGTCTGGACATGTCATCTCCAAGCTTACCCCCTCTTCTCTCATAGAGTTCTCTGTTTTCTGCTCTTCTGAGACTCAGAAATTCCATGCCAAAGTCACATTCTTAGCAACAAGTATAATTTTGGCTGTTGAAAAAGAAGAATCCACTACAGCACATAGTAGACAGAAGGAAATGACAGTCAGCAGTCAGCCAGGCCTGACCAAGGAATGCAGATCCTCTTCCAGGTCCCTCCCACCTGAATCTGATGTTTCCAAATCCCTCAACTGGTCTGAGTCTTTTTCTGTCAGTGTTGGAATCTAGACTCACACCAGTTCCCTTAAGCAATTTTTTCGCTCCCCTCACTTCCTTCTGGTTCCTTCTTGATAGCCATAATTCTTTATAGAAACTGGTTTTTACAAAGCCTCCCTGTTCTGATCCATGACCCAGAGTTTGAACTAAGAGCATCAGGGAAATCACTACAGAAAACATGTCTGATCAAATAAGGAAAAGAGTCTTAGAGTTGAGACCAGCTCCCCATCCACTTCAAATCCATCTTAGATAGCTCAAATGAGACTGGAATTCAGGAAGGGGAAAATCTAACCCATTATCTAAAATCAACCATTTCATCCTATGTTTGAATAAGTCAAAAGACAGAACAGGGCCAGCTGATCCAGATAGAAACATTTTAAAACACTGTGTGCCATGAACAAATGGCTTCTGAGGATAATCTCAGATCTTTACTTATAGAAACTTGACACGTATCATTTTTCTGCACTGGTAGAAAGTCAGGAAGTGTGACAGTATATTTCATATTGTGATCACCAAAAAGTTGACATTTACAATGAAATTAGGCACTTAATGTCTCTGTGTTTTTATAGTAAATTGCATTTAAAAAAACACTATTAAGCTCTATGAAAAATATTTAGTTGT